TTTGGTCTGAATGTGTCTTCTCAATATGGACAAAATAAATCAATTGAATGTTCACGTGATTAATTTATAACACACGAACTCGTTTGTTCGGTTTCTTCTTCTTCATCATCATCTTCATCATCGTCGTTAGTGCTTTTAAGTACAATGATTGGTATTTTTCTCATCTACTCTTTTTCAAAGAAAAAAAAAGTATTATAAATGAGATGTGAGGTTTTTTTTTGAAAAAAGAAGAAGTGAAAAAAAAAGTAAGATTATGCAGCATAAAGGAATGCTGAAGGTTTTTTCACACAAGAGCTCATAATTGGTACTTAAATAGTTACATAACGCACTAAACGTAGTTCTAAAAATCTTTCAACAATAAGATATTTTTTTTGGAGTCACTTAAGTCGGTTCCAAAAAAAATTATCAATTTATGTGAGTATCATGTGAAAAACTTGATACAGTTTTATTCTGAACTCTTTTTTTCTATTCGAATGTAATTAATTACAGTTTATTGTTCGGCTTCTATTGTAGTCTTGGAAAATATTTTGAAGCATAGATACCGTTTAATGAATTCCAGACATTGAAATCAGCGCATGCTAGAATTTTTTATACTCACATAAAGAGAAAACATGCTTCACATCTTGTTCCTCGTACTCGTTTATTGATCTGTTAAAACATAAATCTCGGGTGATGTTGATTTATTTAGAGGAGAAATCACATTACTTCTTTTTATGGAAGTATTCTTGAGTAATGGTTTTTAAAAAACAAGGAACTCATGAAGGATTCTAAATTCATTATTATTTGTCTCAAGGTTTTGTTGGTTAAAGTTTCATTAACCTCTAATAGGCCATTTAATTACTATGCATATCATTTAAAGGCTCTTGGTCTGAGAGAATGTAAAAGTATAATTTTTTGATGTACAATATTATTGAACGACATATTTGTTTATAAGTGATATTAATCTACGATGAGGATCGCAGTGCCTTCAGCTCGTCGCAACGTGTAGTAACACACCGCCAGGCTGGAACCCTCTCACATTATTATTATTATGATATTAATCTATAAAAATCCTAGAATAATTATTCCGTCGGTTCGCAACCTGCAAAATTCCGATTTTACTAGACTGTAGGTTGCAGAGAGTAGGAAGTGATTTGGACCAACTCAACCCTACTCCCTTCCCCCTCCTTTTGGATAAATTTTTTTCAACTTGTTCCGTTCATACATAACAATATGAAACCTCTTCCCCTTTTTAAAAATCATTTTAGGTACCCAATATGCTTTCCCGATGCAGAAGTCGAGACCAAGTCTTCGGGGCAGAAGTCGAGACCGGAAAAGCATAGTCCCCTAACAAAGCCATAGAACATATTGGAACATATTTCCTTATAATTCCAAGGAATAAAATTGAACATGTTTAAAGTCCAATAAACATTGAAATTTCATAATATAAGGAAGCGCAGGCTGACCTTGGTCTTAAAAGGCAGTTCAGTCTCACACAGCAGTATTCATTTTGCCTAAGAAAATCAGTTCTGCTCTAAAATCATTAATTTTAAAACAAGGAAGTAAGCTACAAAATACTTTACAGCATTTCATTATCACATTTAAAATTGTGCAACAATGTTGTTAAGTTCTGATAAAAGGCTTCATTGTGGCAATTTCATCAAAATTAAATCACACATTTTTATGATTCACAATGACCGCAATTTTTCAATTGTTTTCTGAGAAACTTTATTACATTCGATACATTAGTTCAATAGTCTACAAAATAACAAATATTTTCAATGCATGTCACTGATGCTGGGAGTTAAAATAAATGCAGAATGAAATCAGTACATTCCACATTCCATAATTACGAGACTGATGAAATACTATGGCATTGTCACAGTTGATTCAATTATCAGTGCTACATGCATGACGTCAATGAAATTGAAAATGTGAAGCATTTTGTTCATTCCACAAAAAAAAAAGCATTCAGAATATATTAAATGCTTTAGCAGTGAGTACTAGTATGTTCATTTACGTCATTCTTTTCATTCAATTTACATGTATCCTTGTTCAGTTATCATTCAGACTGCTAAAAGTTATTTATAAATTTCTATAGCAAAGAATTATGAACTTTAATGATTATTATTGATTTTTATTTATTCAATTGAACTGTAAGCTTTTATTTTTAATTGATAAGTTTGTAAATTGAGACGATTCATTGAAATTTTCATATTCACACAAATTTTTTTGTTATGTAATTATCTTAAGCACAAACAAACTTGACTTTGCCCGAAAACGTGACTTTTTGAAATATTTTTGATTTTTTCGCTGTTTATAGGCGCGTAGTCAGGAAAAATCAACAATATTATTTTCTAGCCACGTAACTGCTTACTAATTTATATTGTCAACAATTGTATTATCATGGACAAGACTGGATTAAGAAATTTACCGATTTCAAAAATGACACCCAAAACCGTCCCTTTTGCAACCCATCTAGAAGCTCGTCACCGAAGATTTTTATGAAAATCTAATAATACAATAGATTTGGAAAAAAAAATATCCATAATTTAAGAATAATCATTTTTTTCCATTGTTATATTTGCATGCATATTAATGCCATGATTTCCTACTTTTACGCATATTTAAAAATGTATTCAAGCTAGTCAACAACAAAACATTCAAGCTATTCTCATTAAAATTTTATCATACGATTTTTCTTGCAAGTCGAAGTAAAAAGTACGATTGGTATAATTAAAAATAGATTACTTAAAATAATACAAACAAAGGAAGGCAGGCAAATTAAAAAAAAATCATTATTTGATAATTATTCACGATGAATACGAAAAAAAAAAGTTTTAATTCATATTGCGTATTGTAAAATTTAAAACGTTTCGTAAAGAAACTGCTCGTAAATTTTTAATTTAATTGGTATTGATGACTTCCGCATAGTGAATCATTTTGTAAACTATATTAGATGATTTTTTAAAATTTCAAAATAGTTTAATTTAGATTTTAAAATAAATGTTTTAAACTTATGTAATATTAATTAAGTTATCAATTGAAACTAAATGTCAAAATATGAATTTTTTGAAATCAAAAATTTAATAAATTCAAATGTCAAATGTCATAAACTACGAAGATTTAACTGGCCAATAAAAAAGCAAATTCATATTTGTAGATTGTTGAACTTTAAAACCAATTTATTGCTGATTAAATTAATTCAAAATCAATACAAAGTTAGCAAAAAATCGATGACTTCTTAAAATTATAAACATTTTGAATATTCTATATATTATCAATAGCATTCAAAAACCCCAATTTTTTGTTATAAAAATTTATTACTCATCAAAATCAAATGACAAACGACAAATAAAATGCGAATCAATGATATCGTGCCACGTAGCAACTTCTATTTTTCTGTATTTTTCTCATCGCAGTTTATATTTTTTTCGATTTGCGTTTCATCCAACGCTAGTTTTAAATTGCAAAGTTATGAATGAAATTTTTTATCTACAAGCTAGGAAACTATTTAATTTGACTGTATGACTATTATTTAACAAGATTACATTATTCCTAAAGCATCATCAATATGATAAATGCAATAAAAATTAAAATTAATATTTCTCATGATTGTGCAAGTTGTAGCCATTTTGAAATTTTTATAAAATAGTTCCGAGAAAATAATAAATTTTTAAAATTTGATTTACAGATGCTAGGTTTGATATTAAGTTGATCTGATTATATAAAATTGAAAAACAAATCTTTTTTGAGATTTTTTAAATATCCAAATTTGTAAAGTTTTAAAATTTTCTTTAATATTTTCATTGAAATTCGCCATTGAAATGAAAAATCATTTTTTCTTTAGAATTTTACTTTGAAAAATTATGTATATATTCTTATGATAGCGATAAATGAACCTTTCAAATAAATTCAAAATTTAATGAGCAATCCAATTAAATGTTGAAAATTATTGTAGCTAATAAGTTAAAGTCATAAAATTGAAACCAAATTATCATTAGTTGTTCGAATTTTTTAGCATAAAAATCTCCATTGTTTTCTATGAATAAGAAGAGTCGAGTGCTTGACACCAGATGACGACAGTTTCTACGTAGAATTTTATTTTTAATGATTAATTTAAGATAAGTTTAGATTTTCACAAAAAATGTAATAAAAATCAGTAATTTGAAACCATTTTTCAATTTTAAAAAGCAATTTGATTGCTTAGCAGTAAGAATTGACTCAAGATATTCAGAAAAATATTTTTCAACAGTAAGCGCCATCTCTTATTAAATTCATAAAATTTTGTTTAAAAAGTTTCAACATCAAAAATCTGAAACCGGCTGCAGAATTTTAAACAAAACTACTAATTTGGTCAGTAGATTCAAAACTCGGAGTCTAAAATCTTTAAAATGACTCAATTAAGTTCATACAATTCAATAATAACTAAATTTGCAACCTATTAAAGGATTAAACTTCCAAAATATTCAACAATTTTTTTGAATGATAAGAAAACAGGCAGACATTAAATTTATGGCTACCTACTGTACCTCAACATATCGTGTTATTTCAAAGCTTGAAAAATTTATGAGAACAATTTCTCATTGGTTTTTTTCTTAGTAATTTTTTTGTGAATGAAGAAAGAGAAATAAAAAAATTTCATTAGACAGATAAATTTTGTTACTTTCGCGATGAAAGTGTCATAAATACATTAAATGAGTTCGTCTAAAGTCGAATAGTATCATATATAGTGTATATATAGTGAAATATATGTCGTGGAAAGAAAAAAATTTTATCAGCAAAAATATTTTTTCCGATTCATATGAACGAGAAATAGAGAATTAATTCATAAAATTCATTCTACATTAATTGCTGTCGCTCTCTAAAATCATTTTGAACTCTTTTTAATTGATAAAGTTGTTTATGTTGATGTAGAAAAGTCATAGAATCATAGAAATTAAAGGGAAAGGGTGAAAGAAAAAGAAAGAAAGAAAAAAACTTATTAAAGAGAAAGAGAATATTAAACATATAGAAAAAACATGGCGATGCCTGTAACAAATTGTTCGCTAGATGATATCGATTTGGCAGCATTGAAGGTAAAATTGTGATGAAATTTATAAAATTTAAATTCGCAATTGAGTAAATTGAATTAAATTTATACAATTGACGATGACAAAAGTACCGTAAATCCAGAGACAATTACATGTTTCATACAAAAACAATTAGGTGTGGTCGAAAAAAATTTTTTTTTGCTCCCTAAAATAAAATCATATTTCTTTAGACTTGATGAAAATAAATATAAATCGTCATCGTTTAAAAAGTAATGAAAAAAGTTTTATGTAAACACATGTGTGGTGTTATTTTAAATTTTAGGAGCCAGCTGGTATTTTTGAGCTGATAGAAGTTGTCGGAAATGGAACCTATGGACAGGTTTACAAGGTAAATTAGATATTTGTCATCAATTCTATTTTAATCCTCTCTACAATGACTTTTTTTTCACACATTCGCATTGATAATATTTTTTTTAGGGACGACATACAAAGACTGGTCAGTTAGCAGCCATTAAAGTCATGGATGTAACAGAAGATGAGGAAGAGGAGATTAAATTAGAAATCAATGTACTGAAGAAGTATTCAAATCATCGTAACATTGCCACATATTATGGAGCATTTATAAAGAAATCACCGGCTGGAAAAGATGATCAGTTGTGGCTTGTCATGGAATATTGTGGAGCTGGAAGTGTGACCGATTTAGTCAAATCAACAAAAGGACAAAGTCTGAAAGAGGAATGGATTGCGTATATCTGTCGTGAGATATTGCGTGGATTGAGTTATTTGCATAGCAATAAAGTCATACATAGAGATATTAAGGGACAAAACGTATTACTTACCGATAATGCTGAAGTTAAACTTGTCGATTTTGGTGTTTCGGCTCAACTCGATAGGACTATTGGGCGTAGAAACACATTTATTGGGTAATTAAATTGCTTTATACATTTATCATGACGGAATTCATTACTAATTAAATAATTTTCTTTTGTTTGTCTTTACATTCGTACATCCAACATGTTCATATAGTGTAAGTATTTGTAATCGCCACATATTCTTGTCATAACCGAAATCTTAATTTATTTATTCTTCTTATTTTTCTTTCCATGCAATTCTGAATCTTTAAACTGCCATGATTTCTACAAACATACTAAACTTCTACCTGAAAATAACTGGATCATTTGTGTGTCGAATATAAATAAACAAAAAAAAACATTTAGACCCCTTATTGGATGGCTCCAGAAGTTATTGCTTGTGATGAGAATCCAGATGCCACTTACGATAATCGATCGGATTTATGGTCGTTGGGTATTACAGCACTTGAAATGGCTGAGTCTCAACCGCCACTTTGTGATTTGCATCCAATGCGTGCACTTTTCTTAATTCCCCGTAATCCTCCTCCACGTCTCAAGTCAAAGAAATGGTCAAAGAAATTTCATGGATTTATTGACACTGTTTTAGGTGAGTTGGATATTATTTCTGGTGCCTTGCGGCTTACAGTTTTGTCGGGTTCAAATTTCTTATCTAAAATGTGTGATGTAAGGAGAAAATAGCATGACAATTCTGAGTATTGTCGGACTATAATGTCTAGTCGATAATCTCAAAAGACTTTAGTATTTTCCGGCTTAGAAACCATAAAGCTCTGCCCTTATAATTGTGTGAATATGTAAATTTGCAACAATTACTGATAATGTTAATGACCCTTCAGTTCTTCTTAATATCCTTTTTATCTTTAAAAAAAATTATGAATCATTCTTCTATGCTTCTTAAAGTTGCTGAGTTCCGATTCAATTTTATCTATTTTTTGCCGTCTCGGCAATTAGAAAATTTGTCAACAATCCCATAAATTTTATCAATTAAATAACACAATTTAGAAGCCAAAGTATAAATCAAATGCAGGAAATGAGGGCAAAAGAGTCAAAATATTAAATTTCATTTAAAACAACCTAATCAAATTTACTTTGAATTCTTCAAGAAATTCATCCGAAAAAATTCTTACGGCATTCGTTTCGTAGAAAAACTTTAAAGCTATAATGCAGCAATTTCGAAGAAAAAAATTTCTAATGCGATTTTCTTTTGAATTCCAGTCAAAGACTATCATCAAAGACCGTATACTGAACAATTGCTAAAGTGTCCATTCATCAAAGAACAGCCCACAGAACGTCAAGTGAGAATTCAGTTGAAGGATCACATTGATCGTTGCAAGAAACGTAAGCAAGAGAAGGAACGTGAAGATTATCATTACTCCGGAAGTGAGAATGAAGAGGAGGAACCACAGACTGCTGGTGAACCTTCATCGATTATTCAGGCACCTGGAGGTGATACATTACGTCGTAACTTTGCACAAATCCAAGAAGGACATCAGAAGGCTGCTGAAGCTAATGGTGCTGCAAATCGCAATCAAAAGCCTCAACCACAGCAGCAGCATTCTCGTGAAAAGCCAATTGAAGAGCCAGTTCCACGACCAGCACTGCCACAACGATTAATTGTTGTTCCTGATCCTCCAATAATTCAACAGCCAATAATACCACAGCCAACACCACAACCACCAACTCAAACTCCAAATCAACATGCAAATCGTCCTTTGCCACCGACACCTAAGAACGGATCTTCATCATCCCAACCAAATTCCAATCAGTCATCGCAACAGCAAGCACAACAACAAACACCACCACAACGTAATTCTCAAAATCTCTTCAAGCCTATGGTGAGTGATTCATGTGCCATGCATTATCTGATATATACTTTTTTTCTTCACTTATGAAATTCTCAATAATATCGATGTTGTCATCGCCATTCATATTATAATTCTTATTTGATTTTCCTTTTGACTTAGTTCTTTCTTTTCTGTTCTTTTAAAATATTCAAAAAATTATTTTTTAATTTTAATTTTTCTTCTCTTTTCATATATAAATGTTGTACGTGTTATAAACCCTATATACTTATACTTTTAATATCTATTTTAATTTGCTGGATATTATCTTCAATGTGGAATGTGTGAAAACATATTATCCGTATGACATTTTATTTGATTTTTTTCTTTTCGCTTATCGCTTTGAAATAATCAATTAAAATAATAATTTTGTACATAAAAAAATGCGATGGAATGTCTGTAGCTTCCGCCACGACGTCCTGAGGTAGGTTCCGTTATATGTTTTTTAATTTATTTAGCTCTTAAGTTCTCTCTTTTATTTTATTCTGATTAAATTAACTCTACGCTGCTAATTTTTTTTGCAAACTCCCCCTATTAATATAATTTATTCGCTTAATTGATGTGTTAATTTTTTACAAACTCTTTAAGTTACTTTTTATAAGCATCAAAATTTTAAATTATGAGTTGATTCATATCATCATAATCTTAATAATTTATATAGATCAAAATTCTCACTCTGTACTACTTAGCGTTGATATGCTTTTGAACTACGAATTACACAGTTAGATATGAAACATGTCTGAATTGTTATTGTTCGGTACGAGTCAAATGATTCATGTCTGACCTACAATAGATTTTATAGAACCCTTTTGCTCTTCGTTAAATATCATTTACATCGGGTAAAGTCCTCTGTCATTTTGATTGTCCATTGATGTCAGAATCTATCCAGCCTTTCATGATTGACATCAGCCTTTAGGTAGTAATTATACTAGCCAGATCCTATTATTCTAAAGTGGTGCTAATTTTGCATAAAGTCAAGTTTAATCAATAAAATCCTCCCAACATTTGTGAGTGTCAATTGACCCTCAATGCCATCTAGTACAGAGTCTCTAAAAATCCTCATTTTTATTTCATAAATCGGCAAAATAATCTCGGACATTATTAATTCATTAATAAGAGTATAGCATACGAAAAAAAAAATTAAATTATAATAGTAACAGTAATAACAAAATTATTATGATAAATGTGTTGGCTGCATGTCCTTATTCTTTTACATAAAAGTAAACAATCCTGCCTACGTATCTGTGCAATTACCTATTCTTATATAGTATTTTGCATTTGAATTAGTATTATCTACTATAAATGAAGCTATTGCTATGTGAAATGCAAGCAAATTGTGTATAAAACATATATTTATAGCTTGATGCATAAGTACTAAATCATGTGAAAATTAAGATGCAATGAAGCAGCTGCAAAACAGCTTCTTGCACGCAATAGTTAATTTGAAAAGTGCTTCGCTTGAGGCAATAACAGAAGATAATTAATTACGCATTTTAATATTTGATTTAATATTACTTATGAGATCGCTATAGATCTCAACTCAAAGCCTTAATAATGATGATGATAAATCAATCACAAACAATTTTTTGTCTTTATCTTCTATCTTCTATCACCTCACATCTCTATCTATAATATGATAAATCATACTCAATCAATCTTCTATTAAATAAAAAAAATCCACACACAATTATGTGAAATGTATAAAAAAAAAATTAATGAAATAAAATAAAAGGATTTGGACATGCTTGCGGCACAATTAAATGAATTGGGAATCTCACCCCAACAGTCACAACCACAACAACCCGAGGCACCACCACGAAGCAATCGATCATCATCTGGAGCATCATCAGCTAAGCAAACGACACAGAGTTCGAATAATAATAATAATCAGCCCGTCAATCCACTTGATCCAATTGAGGACTCTGACACTGACTCTGAACCAGATGAACCGAATGATAGAGCTCGAAATGATGGAACATTATTAGCAAGTGACCCACCGAAACCTCTGTGAGTTGATAAAAAAAACAATATAGAATGCTTATTTATTCATTTGTTCATTATAATAATAATATTTAACCTATGTCATGTTCATTCAATTAATTGTCATTTCCGATTGATTTTTTTCTCTCTTTTTCCCATTCACAAATTTTCTCATTCTTTTTCCTATTCTATTCATTATTTTCAATCAATTTCATGTAAATTATTCTTTCGTCATATTTTATTATTATTTGACTCCCCCCCCCCTTCCCCTCTCATCTCATCTCGCATCTCATTATACTGTCATTATTATTTTGGAACTTTATGATTTCATTAGTCCTGAATTTTCATATAGACCCGGATTAATGTCTGGTGAGAGTACAGCAACAGCTTCTACAAATCAAAGTAGTGGTCCACCAAATCGACCATTACCGCCTACACCAGACGACGATGCTCAAGGAGATCGAACTCTAATAATGAAACGGGTAAGTGATTCATATAATTTCTTTATTAAGTCAACTTTATATTTTTTTTTTCAAAGAAATATTTTTTTTTTATACTACATACATACATTTATTTCTTTCGCTCACTGTCCTCTTTTCGATGTGTCTGTTAAATGTTCATTTTATAATTCACAAAAACAAAAATGCTTTGGGAATTTTTTTTATATTCATTTATTATGTCACAATTATGACTTTGGACGCTGGTAAAAGTGCTATTGTTTAATGAATACTTTTTCTTGGCAAATGTTTGAATTTTTTTTTTTTGATGAAACTTCGATGAGTGAAACGGCAAGAGGAGCTATAGTATGAAGAGTAGAATTCTGTCATTAAATTTCTTTAATTTCCATTTTATTTGCTTCAATCTTTAAAAAAATTGGCATTTCCTCTGTAGAAAAGACCTAGAATTAAATAAGCTAAAAGGTGTAAAAATTTGCAATTTTCAAACTTTTTTTCATGGAAAGTTTAAGCATGTTTGGAATGTCATTAAATCTAAGGATACTTCAGAAGACATTGTGGCACACCAGTGAATCGTAGAACAATGTTTGAGAAGCACTGTTGTAAACTATTAAAGACCTAAAACAGCATTAATTCTTGATTAAAAATTCTATCAAATACCAGCATTTAAAGACAGTTTTTCATAAGAGATTCAAACAATAAAAGTCTGTGACATAAAAAATGAAAAAAAGTTCCCAGTGACTTGAAAATATTAATTCGTTTCTAATATCATACACAAGAAAATTATGATAATAATTCAAACATGAGTACGTACGAAAGACATGAAACATAAACAATAGTTTACTTATAAGAAAGTATTAATCATTAGAATAATACAGAGTAGATAAAATTGTTGAAGCATATAGGTTTTTAAAAAAATGGGTATTTGGGTTATTTGTATTTTTAGAAAACAAAAAGCAAATTTGATATCATTTTATGTATAACAAAAGAATGAAGCTCAATTTACTTATATACATACATTTACAGTATTTATTATACATAATTTATATCTCTATGGTATTAGACATTTCTAATTGAATGGAACAAGAAAACAACTAAAATAATTATGAAGACTACACACGTGTAATGATTGCATTATGATAACATTTAATGGCTCTCGATATTTATCATCGTATGATAATAACAATTTGTTAAGTTTATTTAACAATGTTTAAAACAAAATCAAATATTAATACAAATGGTTGTGGCGCATAGAGCTATTATTATTTTAACTTTATATTATCATCATTCTTACTTCTAATTTATTCATGCAATTTTTTTAATCCTTTTAATTTTAAATTTATTTTTAATTTGCTAAAATTATTTCTGAAGATGAAAATGTGGTGAATTTTAGATTTGGAATTTTCGTTATTGGATTCGGAATTTTTAAGGTGATAATTTAGGACTTTTTGAAAGGTTTCACACTTATAGATTCATGCACACTAATCCACATTTTGTGGTTATACAGAATGTCACTCCACACAACAACTAACAAAAGAGACCCGATTCCTCTCCTTATTAGGATTACGTTACATCCTTAACAGTGACGTACCAAGTGTTTTTCAATGTCTTGGGCAACATTTGTTCTCATCTTATAAAGGACTTAATAGGGAGTGTAGATGATGAAGGTCTTTGGGTCCGAAATTCCTACCTATTTCGTCTTATTTTATTCTGCTAGGATTATATAAAAAAAGAATTTCCAATCCAACACTGACTTGACCCTAAAGTACCTACCTTAAAAAATTACTTGCACCGACCCTGAACTATATAATCTTTATAATAGATGTTGAAAAAAGTGTGATTCTTGTTGTTATTACCTTGCAATAACTGATCCAAATGTAGGTTTTCACGATTTCCCGTTCTCGAAATTTTTGGGACGGAAAGCAAATTTTTAAACTGAATTATTTTGATGAATAAAAATAATTATTCAAAGTTTTAATGTCAAATTATCTAAATTAAAGTGTGGCATCATTTAAAAACAAAAAATCTTTAAAATGTCGAAGAGCATGCTTGATATTTGAGTTTAAAATTTTGTCCCGTTCCCGATAATTTTTTCCTATCCAAATGATTTCCTAAAATCCCAAATAATTTTAAATCTACTTTGTGAAACCCTTAAAAAATTAATTTAAATTTTATGACACTACAATTGAAATTTATTAATAATCCCAAAATAGCCGTATATGTTTTGTACTTTCATAAAATATCTCAATATTCTTCAAGAAATTGATTAAAAATTCCAAGTTTAAATAGTGTTTTAGAAAACTTGATAAGCAAGACAAAAGTAAAATTTAATAAACTATGTAAATTTTCGATAATGTTTAATTCAAAATTTAAGCAATAAATTTACTTACTCATGTCTGCTACGTGTCTTGCTTTTCAATTTTAAAACTCAAACCACATTTAAATCGCTCATAAAATAATCAAAATTGAATGAAAGTTCGAAAGAGAAATTGGAAACAAACAATCAGACAATAATTGTGAGAGAAAGGCGTTCATTTACTTTATGTACATTGCAAACAAAAAAAAAATCCGCTTTAATTCCATCGTTTTCCTGTGTCGTCACATTAAGATCTCAAGTTCCTCAAAACTGTTTGGATGAAGCAGTTGATTCATAAATTTCAATTTTCATTGTCTCTCTCCCTTCTATGCCTTTTCACATCTTTGTGTGCTAACTTTAATCTATATTAATTATTTTTATTATTTAAATTTTTTCTATTTCATGACGAATTTTGTTTTTATCATTTTCGAACTCATTTTAATTTGAAAATTGAAATCGGTACAAAAAATTTTTTTAAAAATGTGAAAAAAAAATCTTTTTAAAAACCCACACAAAAAAAATTAAAATTTTATATGCGTGATTAAATGGAAATAAAAACAAAAAATAATGGCAAACTAGAATCTTGCTAGCCAGTCATCGACATCAGTTGCAACGACGGGATCATCGACATCAACAACATCAGAAAATGATGAAGCAGTTCTATTGCGTGAGTGGAATTTTGAGAGATTTTTCCCTGAACGTTCGTCAATGTCGAATGTTGAAAAGGGAAAATTACTTAGTGGAAATGACAATAAAAATAAAAATAATTTAGCATATATGGAGAAGAAAAAGATTGAGGAGATGAACAATAAATTGAAGCTGGAAAATCGTGTAAAAAATGCAATATTCACAAAGAATAATAATCTCAATTCACCGCAGAATCAAAAGATTGTAGCTGAAAAACGTCCTGAGAATGCAGACTCTAGATTTTCGAATTTCGTGCGAGGCTTTCGAAGGGAACATACAGACTTCTTTCCTTCGTCTAAGCGTCACTCGGCGATATTTAGCGAGCAATTGTCACCAATTAAAAATAATTCACCACCAAAAGTTCAAAGATCAAGTGCCATTTTCCAACGGAAAGTACCCAAGGGTGAACCAATTCTTACTGATTTTATTCCTAAACGTGATAATACTTTAGATAAGTCAAGTCCGAATCAAAGCACACCAAAAACTGGAGAAAATTCTAAATCAAATTCACCGGCAGCTGTAAAATTGCGGAACCAAATGCCATCGAATAATGACTTTTTAAGAATGAGACGCGAAAAGACGGAATCTGTCATTTTTGTATCTCCGCGAAATGCCAATAGTGCAGCTGTCGAATCATTTCAACAATTACAACAGCAGCAGGTAAAGGAACCAAAAATTGCGGGATTTTTTTTCTCTCTAATTCTTTCTAATGCAAGAATTTTTTGAAGATTTTTCATAGATTTTTTTTTTTGCTAATAACTATTTTTGTCTCTAAAGCATGTCTCATTCATAAAACTCATCATATCCATGCTCATCTCATAAAATATTGTCTTATGTCTGTCCAAAAAAATATTCTAGGACGAAAAAATGTCGACCATCGATCATAAAAATCATTTGAAAAAAAAAATGTGTGACTAGTGACACAATGATTCTTAGATGAGAATTCCTCAACTCAGGCTGCCTGCATGCCATATTGTATACGAGAGAGCTTCATTTGTTTTGACATTTGGTTTATTTTTTTATCTTCTTATGTTTTTGTTTTGTTTTACTTTTTATTTATGTTTAACAAATGCTTTTGCTAACCTTCTAACCATTTGTATGATATTTGGCGTTTCTTTTATACCAAAAAAAGGCTTAATATATATAATATTTATAATAATTAATCCAGGAGAAATATATATGAAAATTATATGAAAATACTACATAAATTTATGCGCATAATAATTTATTAATATTGAAAATAAGAACGTCGAAAGTAAAAATGAAGACGCAAAAAATTTCCCGACATGTGCACTTCTTATGTCAAACTGTGGTGTGAGGCTTATGGTGATGTCTGTCTTATGGAGTAATCCGATTATGACTCATTCAAATATTGACTTTTGGGACTGGATGTAGCTCGTGTAAAATATTTATCTTCTATAGAATAGACTTTGAAAATTATTTGCTTAAATGCTTTATAGTTGGTGACATTAGTTGTCATGCTAACGGTGAAGAATTTAGCTTGATAAAAGAAAATATGAAGAGTAGTAAATGCTTCCATATTATATAATGCATGTAGTCTTATCGTCGAGAATAGTCTTCTCAAATTTCGATAATATACACGACTATGTCATCAATATTCAGGGTTTTTAATTACATTTTGTAGCTAATATAGAGCGAAGTTATTAAAATCATCTTTAATTGTAAGCATAATAATGAATCAACTTAAATCGAGGGCTCCGAGTTTAAATTATGGAACTCCTTACCTACATGATACATAATTCTAATAGTCAGACTAGGGGTTCCAGAATTCCCGTTCCCGTAAGATTTCGGGAATCGGGAACGGGAACGGGAATGATGTCCGGGAACGGGAATATTCCCGGGAATCAACAAAGAAAAAAAAAAGTTTAAAGCTACACTTACACCATGTATTTTATTTAGGTTTTTAAATCAAATTTAAATTCTATTTCATTTGATTGTCAAATTGATTCTGTTGACAATAATTTCCGTTTAAAATTCAATACTTTTTGGTTTTAGAACAAATCTTAAAGTACGATTTTAAAAAACTGATTGCATTAACGTGCTAGTCTAGCAATCTAGTGCGATATATTATTGGAGATTGAAAAGTTACGTTCAGCTCTTGTAGATGTTGGTGGAATTGATAAAATATAATCTGATAGATTCAAAAGGCATGGTGATTTATGCTGAAACTTGTCGTAATAATCAAAATCTTTACGAATCGTGTCAAATTTATCATTTGTAAGCTTTGAAATTGTAGGTGATGCCATTAATTCTTCAAGATTCAATTTCAGTCGTTCAAATTTTTTTAATCCGATGTCAATTAAGTTTATTATTTTGTGGACATCATACATTTAAAAAAATATTTTTAAATACTTTTTCTCTTCGTTTTTCATAAATATATGTTTTTGATTTAAAACACATCAAATTTGAGTTTAATATTTCAGCTCTTAAATTCCTTAACGTATGTTTTCATTATTATAATTTTCTTCTTTAAATTGTAGTTTTTTCATTAAACATACAAAATAAAAAAAAAAAATCTAATTTGAATTGTCGGTTTTTTTTGTATGAAAACGGGAATTTCGGGAATATTCCCGACAGATTTTCGGGAAACGGGAACGGGAACGGGATTCCCGTTCCCGGGAATTCCCGGGAATATTCCCGATTTTAGAACCCCTAAGTCAGACACACAGATTACTTAAGAAAAACAATCTAGACGAATCTGAATGTATGAATTCTTAAAAACCATAAAGAACTGAAGATAAATCAGAGCTTGAGTCAAACTCGAGTTTAATCGAGTTGAAGTCGCCTCTTTCTGTTTACTTCGAGCTTTAGCTTAGCTACATATTTTTGTAAACTAGGTTTTGAAACCTGAGAACCTGGGTCTAGATAACGTCTGGATAATGCCAGTTTTTTTGAATAATTTATATCTTGGTTACAGAAATGTCTAACGCAGTTTTTGTCTAGTTTTGAAAAACATACAGATATAATAAATGATATTGTACTAAACAATACTTAGGTCTATTTTATCTTAACGATCGAAAAGCTACAACAACTATAACGCTTTGAAGATCGTGAATTTTCACACTTTAAAAATGAAAATTCACAATCAAATTCCAAAATCCGTACAAAACATTGTTACGTAAGTCCAAAGCCCAATACTTATCACAATAAAATCATAAAAGAAGCATATGACAGGAAATAATAAGCCATTTTTGTCGGGTACCCGCATTCATTTTTACTTCGAAAAGACAATATAAATTTTTTTTAATGTATAAAAATATCAGACATAGAATTACAATAGGATTAAGTTGTATGTTTATGCCAACAAAGCATCAATAATTACTTATTAAGTAGGACAATGATTTGGTGAAAAATTAACACAAAACATAAAAAAATATACACACTGAAACTTTTTTATCTCCTCTTTCTTATTTCTTTACTCTTTTTACACATCATAAAATCTTATACCTACTTTTTTGCATAACATTATTATGACTATGTAATTAAGTGAATAAGAAATTCACATTGTATATCATTACTTAATTATCACGACATTCCTTTTTATTTTACCGCCTATTTTTTTAGAATCGCGGAAGTGAGAACAATAACATGGGTGCACGTACGAGTGTATTGCCTGATTTGTTAAGTCAAGCCTCACCGGCAACACCGCCAAGACATGATCGATCAACGAGTGAAGAGGTGCGTACAAAATCCATAAATTTCATATTAATTATTTTATATTGTTGATCTACATTTATTCTTATTATAATAATTGAGAAGAAATTTCGAAAGTTAATTCAAGTAGGGTTCGTTCATAAATGACGTCCATCTTCGCTCCTCTCCTATCACAATACCTATCTAGTGTACTCCTCAAAATGCTGGACGTCATAAGTGAATGATTCCATATCAGTCAGATGTAATATTAAAGTCGGGTTAGTCGCATAATGTTTGTAACCGTAATAAGTATTTAATGTTCTGGTAACACCCCGTTGTTAAACTTATAACTTACAAAAAAATAAATTAAAATTATTACGTATCGTAAAAAGCAGCAAGAAGAAGAAAGGAAAATGTTAATTAGAGTCATTAATTTGTGGGAATTAACTTCGGTCGCTATGAACAATTGAAAATACAATTCTTCAAAAAGTTATTTTTTTTTATGAGAAATTCTCCTTCATATTTATCGCTTACATCCCCATCGAGTACAAAGATCAAAGAAATGGTCAATTAAATATATTTTTTAAACAAACTTCTTCTTTCTCTCTTCATTTCATTAATGTGTTCATGAGCTGATAATGCCGTTGCCCTTTTAATCCAAAAAATGGTTCTCTTTTCTTATAAAGATTAATCTCGTAAATGTAAGTACCATTTTCATACCATAACTAATCATCAGTTATATTTCCTATCAGTAATTTTTTTTAATTTGTATCCAATATAACAATGATTCATTTGTTGGGAATTATTAGTTATTAATCTTATCCTAATTTATATAATTTTTTCATTCTTTTATAATTAATACCTACCTAGCTCATTAATTGGAAGTCAGTAATTATTAATCAATTAATTTTATTATTTTTTATGTAGTCAAAATGCCTTCTCATCGGAGTTTTGATTTATTGACTATGGATTGTGGTGATTTGTTGGAGGCTTTGGAAGTTTTCAGATTGGTCTTTTTTACAAATAAAATTCTGCATGTCTTGAGATCTATAATAGGATACCGTTGGATGTGCTCTTAGAACTCAAAATTATTTTTTGGACATCAGTTGAATGGGATCTTATTTTTCCTTATTAACGAACTTTCCATGTTGAACTGATTCATTTGACGTCAAGCGCGTAACCAGGAAGGGGAGGGGGGATTTGGGGGACAGGAAATTCCCGCAGAAATTTCTTCATTTTGCTAGGAGTTCTATGAAAAAATCATAAAAATCCCCCCCCCCCCACCCCCTAACCTCTGAATTTTCCATCTAATTTTTTTTATCCCCCATCATCGAATTCCTGGCTACGCCCCTGGTTGACGAACATACAAGAAGGGGTGTGGAAATAAATGTTTTAGGGTTGAGATTGAATTTCTTTTTATTCTTGAGATTTTGAACCTTTCCCTTGGATAGATGGATACTCAAACCTCCTGTTTCTCATTTACTAATTTTTCCAAGCACCAAATGAAACTTCTAAAGCACTTAATCACTATCAATCACTGTCATAATCGTCAATAAACTTAAAACTCATCCTGTAGATTAACAAACCTTGTCGTAAATACATATTTAGAACTGTCCTGGTCAAAACTTATTTATTTATTGGTTCTCAAATAATTAATTAATTCGGCATTAGCAAAATCCCGTCGTTGATGTCTTTCTGTTCCTTTTATTTTATTCCTTCATACGTTATTATTCTCCTTATTTGTTGTATCGTATTGTGCATGAGTAAAGCTTTTATTTGTTCATAATAATTTTAATGCAACTTATATTATTTTATTTTAATACAATGCTCTAATCCAGTGTTGTCCAAACTATGTGCTGTGATACACTCGTGTAAAGTGGACGTATGTCGCGAAATTTTCTGAGAGACTGACTTATTAGAAATTTAATAGTTCATGATTTCTATTTTTGAGGTCTATGGTGTGCCGGGGCTATAAAAAGTTTGGACAACACTGCTTTAATCAGTTCCTTATTTTATGTTTATTAATTATTTATTTTTTATTTTTTCTTTCCATTTTAAATGATTTTAGTATCGCGCGGCTGTTAATAATTCACCTCATTCCTCTCCCGTGTCTAAATCACACCAAAATTCACCCCACCACAAACCCTCCCTTGTTATATCCCCATTCCATCATCAACATCTATCCCCCTCATCACAAAGTGATAAATTGGCTCATATTAATTCTAATTCACCCAATAATTCACATTTAATGCATCCCCATTCGCTTGCCCTACAACAGAAACAACGAAGCTTCCTCACATTCGGATTCGGTGCTGGCAGCTCAGGCGGAGCTTCTCGACGTGAAAGTCATGTAAATGTTAATGTAACACCAACATCTCAACACGATGCAACTAGTGATACACCTGAAATTCGTAAATATAAGAAACGATTCAATTCCGAGATTCTTTGTGCTGCTTTATGGGGTGTAAATCTCCTGATCGGTACAGAGAATGGATTAATGTTATTGGATAGGTCTGGACAAGGAAAGGTAAGCAATTATCGAGTCGATCGTGATGAAATATTTAATAATATGAAATTATTACTTCTTTAAGGTCTACCAATTGATTTCAAGACGGCGTTTCCAACAAATGGAAGTGCTTGAAGGACAAAACATTCTCGTCACAATATCGGGAAAGAAGAATCGTGTTCGCGTGTATTATTTATCATGGCTTAAATCAAAAATTTTACGAACTGACGGATTATCAGATGTAAGAATCAAAATTGCTTAATGTCATCAATACCTTAAATTGATGTTAATATCCATTTCATTTAATAATTTTATTAACAGCAAGTTGAACGACGTAATGGATGGATTAACGTTGGCGATCTGCAAGGAGCTGTTCACTTTAAAATTGTGAAATACGAGAGAATCAAGTTTTTAGTGATTGCGCTGAAAGATTCGATAGAAATATATGCTTGGGCGCCAAAACCTTATCATAAATTTATGGCTTTTAAAGTAAATATCCTCACAAGCTGCTTGATTTATTTTTATCCCATAATTAATGCTAATTAATCATAATTTTTTTTCTCTCTTAATAATTTACAGAGCTTTGGTGAATTGAATCATCGACCACTCTTGGTGGATTTAACAGTCGAGGAACAAACAAGATTGAAAGTCATTTATGGATCTGCTGAAGGCTTCCATGCTGTTGATTTAGATTCAGCTACAGTCTATGATATTTATTTGCCAAAACATGTAAGGATTGATTGTTTGATTTTAGGATGGCTGTAGTCATACGTGGTCGGTCTTTCCTGGGTATCTTTGGCAGTAAAACTTTCAGGTCTATTAGAAATCCATTGACTATATGTACTGCCATTCTTTTTCAAACGAAATCAAACAAAGATTGACTTAAGATATGCCAAAAAACACTTATCACAGTATGACTACACATTAGAGTCCATCCACACCCATTTACAATTCCAATTAATTTTGATGCTAAAATAAACATCCATTAATTCTTATCCATTAGACTCAAGGACCAATTACTCCACATTGCATCGTGACATTGCCTAATTCAAATGGAATGAACTTGCTGTTATGTTACGATAATGAAGGTGTTTATGTGAACACAATGGGACGTGTATCAAAGAATTTCGTACTGCAATGGGGCGAAATGCCAACATCAGTGGCATTCATTGGAACAGGACAGATTATGGGATGGGGAAATAAAGCAATTGAGGTAATAAATTCTCATATGATTAAGACAATTAACGATAAATTAATGAACATTTTTATCCACAGATACGTTCCGTTGAAACGGGTCATTTAGACGGTGTTTTTATGCATAAGAAAGCTCAACGCCTTAAATTCCTGTGCGAACGTAACGACAAAGTATTCTTCAGCAGTGCAAAAGGTGGTTCGTCTTGTCAAATTTACTTTATGACATTAAATAAGCCTGCAATGATGTCATGGTAAATTATCCGAACGAATAAATAATTGTGTTTAGGAGGGTGTAATTAATTAATAAGGATGACATGAAGAAAGTCTTTTTTTTAGATGAGAGAACAATTCATTAACAAAAACCATATAATAACAAGTTATGCGCATATTATATCAAAAAAAAAAACAAGAAAAATAAACTATTAAATGAAAATTAAAAAATGCTTAAAAAATAAGCGAGGAAGAAATCATGGAAAGAATGAGGAAGTGTGGTAGGATTTAAATTGATATATTTAATTTCTTCAGTAGTGATGATGATTCATGATTCATGCATGAATGATGTATTATGTATAAACAAAAAAAAAATGCTTCGTTAAATCAGCATCTAGCTTATTTTTTTTCCTTTTCATCTCTTCTCAAAAACAAACATTAAAAGAAAACAAAAAAAAAAGTATATTATATATAATCATTGAGTTATCGATATTTTTTTTTCATATACATATTATATTTGATGAAGAATGAATTCGCGCTGACGATGAGTTGAGTCTTCTGATTTTTCATATTTTTTATTGTAGTAATATACGCTAAATAATACAGGAAACTTCAATTGATAATTGAAAGAAGAGGAATGAAGCATTTATTAAAGAAGATTGAATAATAAAATCATTCGACTCAATTTTTTTATCTCTTCTTTATTTTATTTTTTTATTAATTGTGTAGCTTTGTCGATGCTAGAATAATTCATTTTTATTACATATTCATATTGCTGCAAAAATAAATTCAAAATTCCATTAAAACAAGTGAACACAAATCCTATTCAAAATCCTATTCATTAAGTTCGAGTGGTGCAATAATGATGTATTATAGTGTTGTTGTGGATATTAGTTGAAAGCCATGATGTGAGTTGATGATTCTGAGATTTAAGCTAGCTTTAAAACTGGTTAAATGTGCATTGCTGTTGACAGAATTGCAAAAAAAAAACTTATTGATCAGTTAAAATCATCTCGGGAAGTAAGTTCAGATTTTAGTTGTTTAATCAATTAAAGGAATTCTCAGATTGCTTACCATCCAGATTTAAATAAAGAAGTATTCATTTTTAAGAAGATTTCATTGTCAATTTTAAAGAAATCTCTCACAATTCCATCCAGGTGTTTAAAGTCAACTAAATGACATCATCTATCCTAGTTCTATTAACGACTCAATATAAATCTTTTTGTACCATTCGGGATACACCTAGTAAGCAAGCAAAATCCTATAATATCATGAAAGTGTGGACAAAACTTATTTGTTGTCATGTGGGCTATTCCTTCCAAAATGACAAATTTATCACATTAAAAAGTTCAAAATAATTCAATTTATAGTTTTTTATGGTCTTGATTCTTTTTCGCGCGCGCTTTCGACAACACACTGCTTTTAAATTAATGTTCTTTAAATGTCTCTAAACAAAATCGCTCAACAGTTTTATGAATGATTCAGTCATTCCATCGCTTTTGTGTTGTATTGAAAGTTAACATTTGAGAAATATTAAATATTTCTTTTGCTTAGTTTGGAGGTCCGCTGAGTCACCAAATTTTATTATCAAATATCATGTCGTGAAGAAATATTAACGTGACGACAATTGAGAAAATGTCCACAAATGAAACAAGACAAATTAATTTATAGCTCTAAGTTCTTTGAGAATTTTTTCGTCAGATTTACTTCAAAAATTTTATTGCCAAGAGAAATATTTGGATATGATCCTTAATATTTGGTAGAAGTGTGAATCTAGATTAGAATTATAATTCTGAATTTTATGGTCGAAAGTTCAGACTAAGTTGACACTATCGTATCTGTGAAGTAGCTAGGTTTAAGCATCTTTTAAGTATTGATAGTCAATGAATGTGTTGATGAGATTCTGTTGGGAACATCACATCCTTCGGTATGATATCCAGCTGATACAAAGGGTGTTGGAGTTGTCTCTATGGACAAGCTACTTAAAAAAATCCTTTTTTTTAAATTCTTTGAGAATTTACAAATTTTTTGGTTTTGATAATTTTTGGCAAACCTTAAGCACAGACTAGAATCTGAAAGGCAACACAATCGTCAAATGCTTTCATTTTCATCCAAAGAAGCAGAAAGAAAAATGATCTCTGGTATTTTTATATCCAACAGATGATATCCAACATGTTTATTGCCTATTTAGAAAGCTTGCTCAAAGTGAACTACATCGGTTTATAGGATAAGAGAAGGAGTATGACGAAATTCGTCAATAAAAATCTATCTTAAATGCCAAAACTTTTTTTTTTGTAATAGATACTGCATTTACACTAAAAATCTGACAAAAAAAGTTTTCTTCAAACTCGAGCGTCATAAAATTTCATCATGACAATAAATTGAAAGTTGTGTCTAATTTAAATCAATATCGATAGCCATTAAATTGAATAATTCTTCGTTAGTCAATCCAGTTTGATAGGAAATGCCATATAGATGAATCAAATGGGTTTGGTCAAGTGATCCTTCATAGGAATGAGATGTAGATTCTTTATTACTCAAGAGTTGACGCCTAAATAATAAAATTCGTCCTTAAATCGCTCAATAGATTATCATAACAATATCAATGAAATTTAATTGAATGAATTCAAACTATTTTAACTAAGTTGAAGTATTAGACACACCTTAGTCCCGAGCATAATAAAGCTATTTGAAATCTATAATAATTCAAATGAAGCTTGGGAATGTTGTCATCGAAAATATAATATTATGTAGCTCGAGAAGGACAAAGTCACAATATATACAATAGATATATTTCAAATAAGTAAGAAAAAAATTGCTAATATAAAGGATAAATAAAATAACGTAAAAGCATGATCTGAAATGCTATTTTTTATACTACACGAAATAAACAGCAAGACAAAAGAAATAAAAAATTACCTATAAACATAATCTCCTTTTTCATATTAACATAAAAAAATGATAATTTTACAGTAAAGAAAACATAATAAAAAAAAAAACAATTCATAGGCAACAAGAATCGATTTCAATGCGATGAAATGAAAAGCAAGCAAATAATAATAATAATCATTTTTTTATATACATAAATAATAATAATTTTGATGATGAGAAAAGAAAGAATAATGTATTTTAAAAATGAAAAGATGAAACATTTTCCAAACAAAATAAAAATGAAAAAAAAACTGAAAAAAGAAATAAAACAAAAACATAGAAGTTTCGTGCAATTTTTAAAACAATCTTGCATTTCATTTATTTAACTTGATCTTTTACAATCTTTTATTCATTTCACATATCTCTTACTAGCTATATTTATAGGTCAGTCAATATATCAACATCTTTTCACACAATACTGATGGTTTTTGGAAAGGGAGAATTGATTCATTGAATAAAGTCATTTGTTCCGACAGAGATCAGCTTTTTTAAGCTTTAAAATTGTTTCGTTTTTATGCAGAATAGTTTAGATTAAGGAAATTTCAGCATTTTAATTTGACTCATTAAGCTGAATGTTCATTTTCGACTAAAATTTATTTGTTTGCTGAATTCAGCATATTCGACTCACATTGCTGAATTGAGCAAATTTAAGCTAATAAGCTAAATTCAGCTTATTAATTTTCAATTGTCTAATTAGATAAACTTTAGAGTTTTTAAAAGTAAGAGTAGAATTCACCAAATTCAGCTAATTGGTCCGAACTCAGTAATTTCAATTTTTTTAGCTTCTTGAATTTCATTCAGCACAATTTCTTGATATTAAAGAAATTCAAATTTTATGCTTATTAAAAGAAATAGAATTCATAAAGTTATAGCTTTTTCTAGTAGCCCAAAATGTATTCATATAAAAAGATGCTGACATATTACTTTTAAAAACAAAATTTCGAAAAATGTAGGAATGGAAAATTAATGTCTCTAAATGGCAAAGAAAATATAAAATAATGGGAGATACACACAAACAAAAGCTTTAATTAGGAGGAGAGAAAAAAAAAATTATTTACAATTTAAATTGATTGTGTGCAAAACATTAAATATTAAAAATCCTCTCAAATGGCAGCAAAAGTTTCTTTTTTTGAGAAAATCAATGAAGATCTTTTTCAAACGTCTCATTTTTTCGGCAGTGTTCCAAAGTATGACTCATCACGTCTTGGCGATCCTATAGGAGGTAAATATGTTCTCGACGCAATTGTCGTTGTGTAGAAATATCCCGGTTTTGATGGTTTTGCTGTAGTCCTTGTTAATGCCAATTGTATTGTTTGTCTTCCTATAAATTTAACATTAAAGAAAAATAAAACCAAATTAAAATTTGAACTGAAATTAATCTTTACGACAACATTCTCTACTGGGTTATATCATGGATAAAAAAAGGTAAAGCATGATTTTTTCACAGCCTTTTTTGAGCTAAACGCACTACGATTCAAATTAGAACAGAATCTATTGTACCACACCCTTTAGATTTACAGTTTATATTGGAATCTGAACCACTTGCAAGCTCTGCACATTGCAAAGACACGAGTCAGTCTAAAGACCTGATGTACCCTGCAATGGACTTAGACACAGTTCGTGTGTAAAAGATCTTGGTATATCCTAGTAAGCCTAGAAAAGGAAACACGTTATGTGCCGAAGACCTTAAAACTACACCCAATACACGAACCGAGCTTTGTATATCATATATCATGCATAAAGTAAGTAAATAAGCTGTTAGTAAGTCAATAAAATTGATAATAAATGACTATGAGTAAGTGATACAATCACCAATAAGCAAACAACATAGCAATAAGCCAAATGGTGTTGATTTGATTGATCGTAAGTTAATTAAATGTTTGAAGACCTTTCTTGAACTGCATTTTATAACCTAAAAAGGGGGACAGCTAGTTGATGCAAACTGTAGAGTTAAAACTCTGTCGACGAGCTAATTCCTGTTTGTGCTAGAGTTTGTTGACTGAAAATTTGGTTTTTATATGATAATTAATTGTAAATGACCCTTAACCTTATCCAACAAAGTGAAAATAATAATGTCCTAAATTAGTATTAAGTTTTGAATGCTTGCATTCATTTCAGATGTTCCTATAAGTTGTGTTCCTGCTATCTTCTTAGCTCATTAACCAAAACCAGTAATTTTTCCAATCAAAATTTTGAAAAAAGTAAAAAAAATTCTCAAGCCCACCCCCTACACTCACTGATAATAAATTGCAAGTCATATAACATTATCTAACATACAACACCGACAACTAATAATTTTTAAAAATTTCTTCACTAATGTTGTCTCCAAAAACAACACAAAATAGATAATAATCATAAAGATTAAATTTAATGACAATAAGGTGCCATAACATAATCAGCCACAATATAATAAATAAGAAATTGACATGCAGCATACACCACAGTGATTTGATAAGTGTGATTTAAACAAACCTGACGGTGCTGGAGTCGATGGACGGAAATTTTCATTGTATGGTGGATCTCGTTGGAATGGTTTTGGTCCAGGTGGACCTAAGTTAGGATTGCCCGGGGGTCCTGGTGGTCCAAATCCTGGTGGTCCTAATTTTTAAAGTTGTTGGAAAAAGATTTATGGATATTTGTTTTAGGAAATTAGACAAATGAAATCAATGAAATTAAGTTTATTATTTATGTTGAAAGCTTCTATTAAAATTAATGCTTTTAAACGCCTGTTTCAAATAAATGATGAAACTTGATACTCAATAAAGTTTTGAACGATATCAATGTCTATTAAATGTTCATAAATATTTTTTTTCTGGTCAAGCCAAAAAAAGTAACAACTCAATAAATTATTAATCTTTTAATATTCTTTGCTTGTTATTAATTTTTTAACAGCTTTAACTAGTTGATCACTCACCTGGTGGGCTGTATCGATGTACAACATATAAAAAAAAAGAGATGAGAAGAATTTTTTGTTCCGTCAGTAATTCATTGTCATGGAATATGTTGTAAAGTTAATTAAAATTCTTTAACATGCTATAATTACCCTGGAGGTCTGTGGAATAGAAATAATAGAATAAATTATGGTGTAAAGTAGCATAATTATTATGATTCATGTTATTTAATAGACAATGAGGATGTAAAAGATAAAAATAAGTGTTGTGTTTTAAACACTTCTATTGTCAATCATGTGTCTTAAATATTTTAATTAATGGCTTTTAAGAATTTTCTTTAATTTATTAGATGAAAGTCCATGACTTAATAATAGATATTTCATAATATGAGGCAATATTCTGTTCTTGTATGTTTTTGAACTTTATTAATAAGCTCACATCTTTTTGATTTAAAAGAAATCCAGAACCCATTTTACAGTGACAAAACTCAAAAAAGTGTGCATCCAAAAATGTCAATTTATTTTTTTTTGAATATATTTTAATATCCCACAAATGTCAGATCATTAAAAATGACTTCACACAATATTTCACACCACCCAATCCCTGCTGATTATCAAACTGTCCAAAACTTGATTTCAACTAATTCTTAAAATCTTTTTTTAAATATTTAAGTTTTGACTGCTTTTAGACAAGATGACATTTTGGCTTGCATACATTTCCTTAAAAACACAATATTGTGCAGATTTCATTCATATTATGGACATTATCCAAAAGACTTAAACGTTTCTTATCTTTTAAAATTGCTTTCAATTTAATCTTGATTCAAAACAGATTTTCTGATTATTTTAATAGAAAAAAGCTTTTTGATAAAACTCAAAAATTATGCAAAATCTATAAAATCGCTATATTTTGTGTGTAAACAAAATCATTCAGAGATCGCAAATTGACATGTCGAATGAATATAAATGTTTTTAAGTGAATCGAAATGTAGCTTTTAGCAGCTTTAGTGTGATAGTAATCTTAATTTAATGATTATATGGCTTTTACTTACCCTGGACGAGAAGGTCCCGGTGGTCCTAAGAATAAACATTATAGTAATGATAAGTTTAATAGTTTTGAGATTATAGATGTTTTTTTTTTTCATACCTGGCGGTCTTTATTTGTTTAGATTGGTGAAAGAAGATAAGAAAATTGAAATTAAGTCATCAATTTTGTGGAAATTATTGCATATGCAGCTTACCCTGGCGGTCTGTAAGAAGAGATTGAGAGAAAATTTTATATAAGATTCGAAGTTTTTTAATTATTAATACTGTTAAAGAGCATAGAACAACTACTCACCCTGGTCTATTTGGTCCTATTTTTTTAAAACGATTTAAAATAAAATAAAAATCAATTAATAATTTTATAAATCATAGAATATGTTAGAACTAACCTGGTGGACTATTTGAATCAACAACATCATAGAAATAAGAGTTTGTAAAAAGTAAGCTACAAGAATTAACTCGAATCTTACCCTGGTGGTCTGCAAAAGAATCATTAATCTTATATCAATTCATTAATGAAAATAATACTGAATAACTTACCCTGGCCTTGTTGGTCCTAATGCATCATTAATGTTAGAAAAAAAAGTTATCAAATCATATTTTATAGCTTATGTTTTGTCAATCTTACCTCCTGGTCCCGGTGGTCCTGGTGGTCTGTATTCAGATTAGAAAATGTGATGAGAAAGTCAAAATTAAGCCTTCAATATTCCTAAGAATTATGAGAAATCAAGCTTACCCTGGTGGACTATTCGAAGTGGAAACATCAAAGGAATTAAAATTTATGAATAGTGAACTTTTAGAAATTATATCGGAGCTTACCCTGGTGGCCTTTAAAGGAATTGTTAATTTTTAAAAATCTTTATTATAGACTATATAAAATAAATAACTTACCCTGGTCTTGTTGGTCCTAATAAAATAATTAAAATAAAAAATGAGGTTGAATTATGATAGCTTTGAGAATAAAAGAATGTAGATCTTACCTCCTGGGCCCGGTGGTCCTGGCGGTCCTAATCATGTCCATGAAAAAGAATTTCAAAACTGTTAACCTAAATAAAACAAAAGTAGCTTACCGGGTGGGCCTTGAATGAAATTAAGAAATAATTATTAAAATTAATTTATCAAGCTATTGAATGTTTTAAGTTTGACTAACCTGGCGGTCCTTTAGAAGTGCATGAAGGAATAGAAAATTAAATAGTAAGGTTTAGATAGAAAATCTCAATGATTCGTACCTGGTGGTCCTAAAATGGATAACAAAAGTGAAAATATTTTAAAATTAAATAATTAAGCTTTTAAAGAAAGTCATCTAAGAAAATTCGCAACACCTTCATTTAATGCATTAAAATAAACTTCATAGCAAAAACCAGCAATGAAATTTCAAAGTTTCCATAATAAGCAGCTCTGTGAGACATAACTAATAGCATCGATTAGCAAAATGTATTGTTATTAAAAAAGAAATTCAGTAGGTGTAAAAGTTTAATTGTAAGTAAACACCTACATGATAATTTATTATACTCTTTGAGGCGACAATTTATGCAACTGTATCCAATTTATTCCATTTAAAAATGTTTGTAAATATTTTGCTAATCTTTAAAACATTACTTATTCGAGATGATGTGTGTCTAAAGAGCTGATGACATTTTGATTTATTATCGACTGCTAATTAGCCAAAATGTCTGCTAAAACATCTTGTTATCTCTTTTGATTGTCGTTTCATTTAAGCCGGAATATGAAGGTATTTACGAGAAATTTGCATTACTTTTGTCGGATTATTTAAGTGATTTTTAGTTGCTTTACAAATTAACTCTGTAATATATGCAAATTTTTTGAACATGATTTTTGTGCCAGCAAATTTTTGCCAAAATTGTATGTAATTGAGTTGAGGTGAATTTTCAAAATTTTAATGGATCAATGCCTGTAAGGCAATAGGGGTCTGAATCCGCATACATTCAGTGGAGAAACTCTAAGTTTTCAAGTGATGATTTTATTCAGAAATACTCAACAAATAGAAAATAAATATTAAAATTTAAACATGTTCCTACCTGGTGGTCCTCCTGGTCCAAAAGGTCCTCCTGGACCTCCTGGACCTCCTGGACCTCCTGGTCCTGCTGGTCCTCCGGGTCCTAATAGAAAAAATAAGAAAATTAATTTATTTTAATCGATTACAAAAACTTTTATTTGTTATTCAAAGCATGGACTCCATTTTTATGAGTCACATAAAGCTCAATTGACTTACCGAATCCTCCGAAACCTCCTTCTCCACCAAATCCACCTTCAGGTCCACCGGGTCCTTTAATATTATTAAACATTTATTAATTTTAAAATTCAAACAAAATTTTCTTTCATTCCACATCTCTTACCAAATGGGCCTATGCAGCAAAAGTAAACAAAATTCGAATTTAAATTAGATTGAATAGACATTTAGAGCTGAGATTTGCATTATTAAGTTTGACAGTTTACACTTACCATTAATGTGATCGTATGGAAGAGCTGGTGGTCCTTCAGGGCCTGGAATGTGAACATATAATCCTCTGTTATCGTGCACATAAGCTCCTCGATTATCATGAATATATCTGTAATAAATTTGAGATTTATTTTGCTAGACTTAAAATAAAATTAAGTGCAAATACTAACCGTCCGGAGTAATCTGGATAATAAAAGCCATCATTTTTATTTCCCCTTCGTCTCTGGCCTGAAAATCGCTCTGGCGCTGGTGCAAATTGTTCATTCAATGTCTGTGCTGATGGAACATTATCGTCATCACTCTCAAGATCATCAAGTGAGAATTTAAAAGATTGAGCAAATGGCGATATTTGATGGCGTACGTTTATTTGGTGTTGCTGTAAATCAAATTCTAAACTACCACAGCCTTTTGGAAAATAAAGATCTTTGAATTGTGTAAATTTGCCTCTCGACTGTTTGCCATCGCTTAAATCCAATGATCTATGTGTGAATGGAATTAAGATTTTAAGTTAATGAATATTTTTTTTCAAGGTGTGGACCAATAGATTTTTCTAATTTTTAATCCCTAGACTCACTTTGATTCTGTAGCAATTGGAAAGACTTCGACAGCATCTGTAGTTCTGAGTAGCCGAAAACCTCTAGCATCAGCAATGTAATGACTTGACTGTAAATTACTAAATTCATCAAGATATCCATAACATCCATATGTGACGCCATCAGGTCCTCTCGTCTGGTGATTAAATTGTGCATCTTGATCAATCTCAACACCATAGTTATACGCTCTCTGATCTAAGCCTCTTTCATCATATTGTGTATGATCTTTCTCATCAATATTAACAATTTTTATTCCTTTACTTATTTTTGAACGTGATTCATCGATCGCGGCATAAGAGCAATGTATTATTAACTGTATCTGCGAAAAGATTAAACATTTTTGCATTAATGATTTTGAAGGCCATAGTATGTGTTTGACTTAACAACCTACTACAATATTATTTCTGAATTATCAATTCGTTTGAACGGAACGGAAGCAAATTATTTGCTGTTTAAATTTTCAACTTGTATGGGAATTTGTAAATCTCTTTTTTGTGTATATTGTTTGCGATAGAGATGAGTATGCGTGTTTCTTAATGATTAAAACAAGAAGTCTATTTACAGCTGGATTTAAATGTCTGAGTAGGTTTTACAATTTCCCGTTCTTAGTACTGTGATAGCCTTAGCATCGTCAATATTTTTGATTTACCGAAATTAGACGAGAATTATGTATATGCACAACACAACAATTTCCATCCATGAGACTAAATGTCAGGTACATAAATCATCAAACAAAATAAGAACCAAATTCACAACACTTCAAAGCATTAAAGCTCATCAAAGAATTACAACCAATTAACAACGATTCTAAACAAATTTGTATTAATTAAGCATAGCTATTCTGATCTTTATTTCCTAATTCCATTCAAGATTAAACAAATTAGTTCCTTGATTTCCGTTCCTTAATCTTAGCATTTAAAGTTTACATTTCACGTAGTTTTTGGAATGCTACATTTCATGACTCATCGATCTGATTCTCTTTCATACTAGACTCTTTTTTTTATTGTAGACACGTTGGATTGTTATTCACATCTTTTGTCAATTGCCATCATGAATTTTTTTATTTGCTTCCTCTTAAATATCAAAAGTCGCATGTTCATCGACAGAAAAAAAGTGATGGATACAGAATAATACAAATGAGGTATGACATAAAAGTAAACAATAAGATCGAAATATTGATATTGTGGGATATTTTGATATTTTATGCCAAATTGAGCAAATGAGATGGTAATAATTTAATCAATGGTTTGACACGCGAGTTTTATTGCAATATTGATGACTAACAATGGCTGCATCGACAGATAAAAAACACAAATTGTGTCCAAAGTCACAAGGAAGACAATAAAATCATTGAAAACAACACAAATTAGTTCCATGTATCTTCTTGTTTAATTTCGTGTCATTTTCAACAAAAAACCTTCAACTCGATTTAAAAATTAATCCAATAACGGCACCAAAGTCATCCTTCATGCATTCAAAAAAATCGCCAATTTATCAAAGCCGATTTTCTCAGAGCTTAATCAATGAACTTGAATGGTCTGTAGTGACAGAAGAAAATTTATTATTGACTTTACAGACAATAAAACGTGTTCTGCACAGTGTGCGAAAAAATTTCTTTGAGGAAGTATTGATGATAAGATGATAATGAATACTAATTAGTAAACAGACTAAGAAATATTTGCAGACTTACGTTTTGGCTAGTATATGATGAGAAAAAAGTCTCGAGAATTTAAAATATAAATAAATTTGAATAACATGACCAGGTGATGTCTGAGCAGTATCGGAGTTATTTATGGATTGTTGTACTGTTTGTGACATTAGAGTTCCCGAACATACAAAGAGCATGCTCAGAAAAGTGAGCATATAAGTGTGTCTCCTCAAAAATTATACTCATGCAAGCTCATTCAACTCTATGATATGCCAAGAGACGTTGTCAACGTTGATTCGAAATAAATTCAAACTCGTTTCGAATGATTTTCGAACAAAATTTTGTCATTTCGAAAATCATTTTTTTATGAAAATTTCAAATTTTCGCAATTTTTGACTTAATTTACTTATGATTTAGGAATTAAATTAGTCTATTATGTCTTTTAACACTAATTTAATCGTTTAATCGGTGATAAATGCAGCAAACATTAGTTTAAAATGCTTTTTTTCAAAAAATATTTTAAATTTTTTGTTGTTGTTTACATTGGAAATAAAAATGTTATTAATTCACTTGTATTAATTGTTTAGTAAATCAGTAATGATTCATTACATTTGAGTGGATTCATTTAACATTTTGATGATGAAAAACAAATATTTAAACTATTAATCAAAGATATTAGACATTAATAATTTAACGTGTGAAAAAAATTTGAACTTATGCTCGAAAATAAGGTACCAAAAAAAATTCAATATCGAAAATAAGGACTCGTTGGCGTACCATAGATTCAACTATAATGCTCAGGAGTTCATTACGAATCTACTCACTTTATTTTCTTGCAAAAAAATTATAAGCTCACGTGAGAACATTCAACGAGTGTACTCATGAGAATATTAAGAACATACTCATGGGTATTTAGTCTTATGAATACACTTCTTAAACATACTCATGAGCATATAATGAACATAATTATATCTATATGACATTTCCAAAAACGTCGACCAACTTAAAATCAAACTTAGAATACATTTTTATGTAAGTCGACATTTTCAAAAATATTATATAACTAATATTTGAATTCATAAAATATTTTCAAAAAATGTCGACTTGCATAAAAATGTCTTCTTTGTTCGATTTTAAGTTGGTCGACATTTTTGAAAATGTCGACTTGCATAAAAATGTATTCTAAGTTCGATTTTAAGTTGGTCGACATTTTAGAAAATGTCGTGATCGCATCACTTTAATGTATGAAATGAGCACATTCTCACAAAAGTTTGCAAGCTCACAAATAATGTGCTCTGAGTATACTCATTGTATGTTCGGGGTTTATTAGACAATTTTGGATATTTTTGAAGTTTTTTTTAAATGATTGTTGAAATGAAAACTGAAGAACTAGTTTTGATTGAAGTTGGAAAAATCAATAAGGTATATTAACTAAGACAAGAACCTAGATCAGTGCCTTTCAAACTTATTTCGTTGGCGAGCCTTAACAGACAAATGATTATGTACGGTACCATGAGTATACTCACTTGTCTATTAGGAGAGGTTTCATCCAAGGAATTAGCTTTTGATCAATTTGCAGTATTATAGAATCGTGCGTTTAAAATAATTTAAACTTCATTTAACAACACTATCCTTTGCAGACACAAAGAGACTCTAAATGATTCAAACTTAAATTTTATAAAAAAAAATCTCGTGACTATGCATTTATATCCAATCAAATTTCCTCAATTAAAAACAGCCTTAATTTACGACAAGAAAAAAACTTCAGCACAAGCTATATGCATAAAGCAGTACCTTCCAAACTTTTTTGATCGGCGACACATCTTAATGCTAAGCCATGATCAAAACCGTACACGACATAAAGTTCGTTAGATTTTAAGAATTTTTTAAGGACAATGGATCGCGAACCATAGTTTGGCATAAAGCAACTTTGTTGAGATCATCGCGGAAAACTTCTTTTGATACATCTTCATTCTTATACAGATATAAGATAACCCCCATTAACATCAATTAAGTTTTATATAAAATCACATATTTATGATCTTGATAGCCAACCTCAATACAATTTTTTGGCATTTTTACTCAAATTGACCCACCATGACATTTTCTAAACTATGTTTGCAAAACGTCTAGCAGGAAATCAATAAAAATGTCAATAAATTAAGGTATGCTGTGCTGTGCTGTGGGGAAAAAATGTATCAAATTAAAATATTTCGACATCTTTTCGATATGTAGTTTAGATAAGATACGAGAGAAATGAATAATAATTTTATTTTGATGAATATCAAGGAGTGGTAATGTGGGAATCAAAATAGACAGAGAGGAAATGGATTGCAAACATTTTATTAACTGTGAAATTATGAGAATGTCTTTTGAGAATTTATGGAACTTGAGAATGGATTTCTTTAAAAAAAAATTGAATTTAAGCTTTTTTATTGGCTGGACTGTGACTTGAGTGTGTCTCGTTTGACAGATTAAATGTGATTATGAGTTTAAAATGCATTTTTTTGGACACGTGCTGAGTTTGGCATCAGTTAATATTAAGCAGTAATTTAAAGACATTTAAGCTCGGTGGCAATTTCGGTTAAATTTCAAAAATAAATTGATTATATTCAAAATTTGTAGGAGATGTTGGATTGAGTCTGATAATAAGTCACACTTTTTGGATTTCGGATCTCGTTTCAAAAGAATCCACTCGAAAAGTAAAACGATTCATGTGCTAGTTCAATTTTGGCGCAGATGTTAAGTCTATTAAAAATCGCAAAATTCTTGACCATAGCTGGAAAATCTAGCTACTCTACCCACAAAACCATCCATTCCAATTAGCAAATCTCCTCATTATTCAACACCTCTGAATCGCCAATCATTCTCAATTAAGAAATGGGGTAATTCTCATTAGTGCCATTCCATGTATTCATTCTAGACATGAACACGCTTAAAAAAATGTAACATTATAAACAGTCAATAATTTGTCAACGCCCACTCATTGCAAATAAGCTATTCTGACTCTAGGAGAATGTTAATAAGATAGACATTAACAAAGATAAAGTCTTGGTCCGTAAATATTGCCTGGAATTAAGCAATAAGAAGACAAAATCATGCTCACAGCATGAGAGGGTATAAAAGTAAATGGAAGCAAAAGAATGATAAATTTTCAGAGATAAACCCATGCGCGCTTGTGTGTTTAAAACGTTGATGATGATGATGATGATGCTGTAATTGCTTGATGGCAAGGTCGTTTCTCTTCTCACTCTTTCTTAAGGAAAGTAGATTTTATTGTTTACTTCGATTGATTATCTCTTTTTTTGTACTTTTTATAAGCAAATATGGATATTCTTTACACATTTATGGACTCTGAAAGGTATATAAACTTTATGTATACCTCAATAAAATTCTGAGGACTTTTACACCCAGCATCTCTTGAATTTATTGTGACAAGTAGAATTTATAGCTATTTAATGTCCTATGAACAGAACATTTCGTTGTAATAAAGCTCAAACTCTAAAAGAATGTTAAATAAGACTGATGTAATCCGTAATCAACTTAATTTATTCATTGGGAACGAGGCACATTTTTTCAAACTCTCTGGCAAACTTTAAATGTCATCGCAAATTTTTTTCTCTCACCTGAATGTGGCATAAGCTTAACCATCCTGTCAATATGTTAATTTT